CCCCAAAACCCCAAAACCCCAAAACCCCAAAACCCCTTCATCAGCTGCTAAAATTGAGTCATGATTTAAGCTTATTTCACCAGGATTATTGGTTCATGAATTTCTCCTTATCATACACCTTCCTGTACAAAGAATTATATTCCATGATCAACTTTGATGAAGAGAATGGAATATCTGGAGCTTTGTAACCTGCCTGAGTAGACTTTAGTGTTCTATCGAGCTTTTCCCATTTCTTATCCATGGTTTCTCTATGCTCGCTAGATTGCTTTAGACCAAAATTTTCTGAAGATTTTGAGTCCTGCTTCAGAGCATCATCAAATGCGAATGAGTCTATCTCCTTCAGAATTGTCTTCAAAGCTACTAAACTCTCTTGCAAAATTTTATGCCAGTGGTTTTCAGCAAGATTCACAATTGTTGGGACCAGCATTGGGAATGTCTGATCTTTATATGTTCTCAATATCGAGAGGAAATAATCGTTTTCAAAGAAACACATTGCTCTATCTGCAACTTGGAGGTGAGTTCCTCCAATACATTTAACGATTCTTATGAATAACTTTGGGATGAGGGGCTCTATCTTCTCAACTTCACATACTTCAAGAACTTCTTGAAGTTCTGTCAGAAAAAGGGTTTCCTTCACACAATTGGCAAACGGCCAATATTTCAGCAGTCCCTCAAGTAGTGGGATTGCCAAATTTCTGTCTTTTGTCAGGAATAGCATTGAGCATCTTAGCAACTGTTCAAAGAATTCAGCGCAAGTCTGAACTTTGTGCAGTGGGATTATTACGTTTTTGAAGAAGACGACATGCTCTTCCCTCAAAGGAACGGCAAATCCTGAAATTATACTTGCCAGTATATCTAGAAGCTCTGCTGCTCCATTGAATTTATGTGTTTCATGAATAAGAGTGAAGAAACACTCGTTAATTGCTTTCCGGATCATTTTTCTTCTTGGTACAAGCTTTGCATATAACTTATGCAGAATATTTTTCAGATAGTCTCTTTCAACTCCTTCTTCAGTATCAAATAGTTGTAAAAACCCTTGAACAAATTGCGGTGTTACATATACTTTGAGACTCTTGACATCAGCAGCCTCGTTTATGATAAGCTGAAGGAAGAATTCATAAATTCCTTGTACATGGGGCCAACTGGGGTCTACTTCTTCCTCTTGCTCAATCCCAGTCTCTGAAAAAGCAAGATTGGATTTCTTAATATTAGGGAGAGGTCTGAAAAAGTTCTTCTCTACCATCTCCATAACTGTATCCAAATTCGGGATTATAAGCTGTTGGACGCTTTTCTGGTCTTGTAAAAGATTCTGCAATTCATTTATGGCACTAAGCCTCTCTGATTTGCCTTTGACGTCCTTAGTCTCATCCTTATAATCATAAGCTTTCATGCATATCTGGAGTTTTTTATTAAAAAGTTCTTTCATGTTTTTGCTTTTGCCGCTTTTGCTGCTACTGCCTTTCTTGCCACTCCTATACCCTTTGCCTGAATGCATTTTTAAATAGCTTACTAATAATTTTATTATATTATGGGCCGGGGTTTTGGGGTTTTGGGGTTTTGGGGTTTTGGGGTTTTGGGG